GGAGCAGGAAAGCTGATGTTTCGGGTCTGGACCCCTCTTCAGAAAAATGAAGAAGGGCCCAGACGCGAAACATCAGCTTTCCTGCTCCTCTGATGCTGCTTGGCCTGCTGTGTTCATCCAGCTCTACACCTTGTTATCTCCTACTATTTCTAGTCAGGTTTGACCTTCTTTTAACAAATGTATGCTGAATGCCCTTGATTAATCTTCACTTACCTAAATGATGATCTGTAATGCTACTCAATGTTTCCAATCGTTTGTCCACCACTGAGGCTTAGCTAATTGGCCTGTAATTATTTGCGAAATCCCTTCCTCCCTTTTTGAACAGTGTCACATTGCCACAAGCCATCCTCCAATCCTCTGACACCACACCTATAGCCGTAGAGAATTGGACAATGAGGATCCAAGGTATCCATTACTTCTCCTTTGCTTCTCTTGGCACTGTGTCACCAAATTGAGTATGTTCATAGCTCTGATACCGATTTGCTTTTGAATAGTTCTTCCAATTCACTTCACATCACAACTCATCAAAAACTGGTCTATGTCAATTTAAAACGATGACTCGCTGTTTATTGTTGTTCTTTTCCAGAACTACATTAAATTTAATTGAACAATGGTGACCATCACCAAGTTACCATCCCACTGAAACTCCATATGCAGCTTCATTTTCTAAAACCAGAACTGTCCCTTCACTTGTTGAGCTTTTTATATACTGGTTAAAAAAAACTTCCTCATTTAAAAAATTCTGCATCTTCAATATGTTTTACATTGATTTTATTTATTTTTCTTTCATTGGATGTGGGCATTGCTGCCTGGCCAGCATTTATTGCCCATCCCTAGATGCCCTTGAGGTGGTGGTGGTGGTCCCAGTTAATATTAGGATACTGTAGTTAACATCCCTTGAAATCACCCCTAAGTATCTTAAAAGTATTTGCTAGCTATTTAAATATACCATTTCAAAATTTAAAAAAAGACATCACAGCATGTGGGCATAGATGGCCAGGCCAGGGCTTATTGCCCTAGAGAAGGTGACAGTGAACTGACTCCTTGATCTGAAGTATACGTGGTATAGGCACATCACAGTGCTGATTAGGGCCGAGTTCCTAAATTTTGACCCAGTGACAGTGAAGGAAATACGATACAGTTCTAAGTCAGGATAACGTATGACTTGGAAAGGAAATATCTGCCCCATATATCTGCCACACTTCTCCTACTTGGTGGTAGAAGTTACAGATTTGGACAACGCTGTCAAAACAGGCTTGGTGAGTTGTTGCAGTGTATCATTTATAAATACCACATCTCTTTACTTATTTTACTTTGGGCTAAAAAAAGGAAAATATTGTTTTAGTTTAAAAATAGGGATGTTATGCTGCAGCTGTGTAGGATGTTGGGGAGGCCATACTGGAGTACTATGAAAAGTTTTGATCTCCTTACTTAAGAAAGGATGTACTGGTACTGAAGGGTGTACAGAGGAGGTTCACTAGGTTGATTCTGGAGTTGAGAGGCTTGGCTTATGAGAAGAGATTGAGTAGACCTGGGCTGTACTCATTGGAATTTAGATGAATGAGGGGGGGTCTTATAGAAACATAACATTATGAAGGGAATAGATAAGACAGAAACAGGGAGGTGACTGAAGATAGAACTAGGGGGCATAGCCTCAAAATAAGGGGGAGCAGATTTAGGACAGAGTTGAGGAGGAACTTCTTCACCCAAAGGTTATGAATCAGTGGAATTCCCTGCCCAGTGAAGCAGTTCAGGCTATCTTGTTTAATGTTTTTAAGGCAAAGACAGATAGATTTTTGAACAGTAAAGGAATTAAGGAAGCAGGCAGGTAAGTGGAGCTGACTTCACAAAAAGATCAGCCATCATCTTATTGGATGGCAGTGCAGGCTCAACAGGCCAGATGCCTACTCCAGCTCCTATTTCTTACGTTCTTTTGAAATTAATTTACAAAGTTCAATATTAAACTTAAACTTCTGACAGTATTTCTAATGCACTTTTAACTGTTGAGATCCATGTTCTTCTATTATGATGTTTGACTTATTGTAATTCTCTCTCATTGCTGCTCCCTTGCCCAATGCTTTTAAATAGTGTGAGCCAACTGTTCAGTTTGAGTTATTGATGTGAGACTGGATGACTGCTGACATGTATACATACTTGTCCAAGCTATCTCCACATCTTGACAAAGTTGGTGCTTAGCACCAGCGACATGTTTCGCATTAAGTATGATTAATTATGCTATCGAGGAGTTAGATGTAGTTTTTCATGCAAAAGGGATCAAAGGGAACAGAGAAAATGTGGGAATAAGGTATGAGTTGAATGATCAGCCATGATTGTCTTGGTTAGCAGAGCAGGTTCGAAGGTCTGAAGGGCCTACTGCTGCTCATATTTTCTATGTTAAGTGTATAGTTTATTTTCAGACAGATACGATAGAATTTTAGAGGGTGTTGCATGGAAATTTTAGACCAAGATGATGCTTTCAGAGGTAAAAGGGTTGGAAACCCCTGATGTGGATCACATGCCAGAGTCATTACATACTCTGTTTTGGATGGATTGTATGTTCCCCATATGGTCATGGGAGTTAGGAGCAGGAGCAGGCCTTTTGGTACTTGGGAGCCTGCACTCTCATTCAATAAGGTTTTTGCTGATGTATTTGCATTTCAAATTTCACATTCCTGTCTATCCCCAATCCTTCAATTCTTGTAGACATGCATTAAAAATATTCAATTCCCTGCTCCCATCACCACCTTCGGCAGAGTGGTCCAAAGTCACACAGCCCTCTGAACAAGAGAAATTCTCCTCATCTTCGACTTAAAAGGGTGACGCCCCCCCCCAACCCCAAAAGTTCCTAAAAAAAGGAACTATTCTTTCCATGCCCACATTGTTAAGGCCACTATTCAGATATACTTGTATACTTCAATCAAGTCCCCTCTCACTTTTCTAAGCTCCAGTGGAAACAAGCCCAGTCTGTCCAACTTTCCTTCAAAAGACAGTCCATTCATTCCAGGTATCAATCTAGCAAATCTCCTCTGAACCACCTCCAGTGAGTTTACGCCCTTCCTTGAATAAGGAGACCAAAACTACACACCTTATTTGAGATATACTCTCACGCATGTCTTATGTAATGAAGCAGAACCTTCTATGTTCAATTCTTACCTTAATAAATGCTAACAATTTGTCAGTACTATTATTAGTAACCTGCTGTACCTGCTTATTGACCTTTTGTGACCCTATAATCCTCTGCATTTTGGAATTCTGTAGTCATTCTGTTTAATTAATCCTCTGCTTTATTGATTCTTCCTGCAAAAGTGAGCAACACCTACCCTATTTTTGCCCACGCACTAAACTTCTTCGTGTCCTTTTCACAACATACTTTCCTGTTTATCAGTGTGCATATTTAGCTATGGCCCGGCACAGACCTCTGTCAAACTCAATTGTCATTTACTGCCAATCAGGAAAAGACCCATGTAGGAATTGTTTTCTGCCAGTCAACCAACTTTCTATCCATGTTAACCCCTACATTGTGGGCTCCGATTTTGCACAAATGTCCTTCTTTATGGTGTGTTGTCAAATGCTTTCTGGAAATCCAAAGAGAGTACGTGAAGCTTCCCATTAACTACAAGGTATGTTACTCCTTCAAAGGACTCGAATAAACTGGGTAAACACTAGTTTACCCAGATTAGATAGGGCGAATAGCCAAGGTCTTTTCCTCAGGGGAGGGGAGTCAAAAACTAGAGGGCATAGATTTAAGGTGAGAGGGGAAATTTTTAAAACAGACTTAAGAGGCAACTTTTTCATGCAGAGGGTGGCACATTGTATGGGATGAGCTGCCAGAGGAAGTGGTGGGAGGCTGGTACAGTTACAACATTTAAAAGGCATCTAGATGGGTACATGAATAAGAAGGGCTTAGAGGGATATGGGCCAAGTGCTGGCAAATGGGACTAGATTAATTTAGGATAATATGGTCAGCATGAACGATGGCTGTCACTCTCACCTCACCTGAAGTAGGCCTGTGTTGTAGGATTGGCACTTCATTTTTAGGTATGTCTGATGCTGCTCCTAGTATGTCATCCTGCACTGTTCATTGAACCGGATTAATTTCCTGGCTTGGTTGTACTAGTTGGGTGAGGGATATGTTAGGTCAATAAGGAAGAGATTGTGGTTGAACACAATTCTGTTCATGCTAAGGATGACAGTGCTACATGAATACCCATTATAGAGTTGCTAGATTTGTTCAAAATCAATCCCGTTCAGCGTGGTGGTGGAACCACACAGCATGATGGACAGTATCCTTAGTGTGAAGTCAGGACTTCATCTCCACAAGGACTGTGTGATCCTGTTACTGATACTGATACACAGACAGGTGCATCTGTGGCAGATGAATTGGTGAGGACAAGGTCAAGTACGTTTTTCCCCCTTGTTGGTTTCTTGACAATCTGTAGTAGACTCAGTCTAGCAGCTCTGTCCTTTAGGTCTCAGCCAGCTCAGTCAATAATTGTGCTACTGAGCAACTTGTGGTGAGGGAGGCTGTGCCGTGGCGAAGTTACCCCAAATAAAGTACCTTCTGTGCCTTTACCACCCTCAAAAATTCTTCCATGTGATGTTCAACATGAGTGAGAACTGATTCATCAGCTGTAGGTGGGCATTACTTGGAAGTCAGCAGGTGGTGTCCTTGCCCATGTTTGACCTGATGTCATTTCTGATGTGTTGGTTGCTTCCAGGTGGTCCAGGTTTCATTCCCTTTATATAAATTTCCACCTAGATACAAATGATAGGCTTGTTAGGCAGTTTAAAAAAGGATTGTCAACCTGACTGCTCTTTCAGAGAAGGATGGCAGAATTTTCTTCCCGAAAAGGACATTGGTGAATCAAATAGGTTTTATTACAATCAACAATGCATTCCACAATTTAATTCTAGATTGATTAATTGAATTGTGCCAGAGGGCTTTGAATCCATGTTCCAAGAGCAATTCAGAGTCTCTAGAAAACTAGTCCAGTGATAATATCATAATACCACAAACTGCACCTTTTTTTTAAAGAAATAAGTAGTTTCTGATGTGACAGAGATATGACAACAATGCCACAAGAAAATGGTAAAGCATTTTAGGGAACAATTTGTCATCAACTGGGGCAACTTCATTTTTTCTCTCCAGCCAATTTCCCACTTGAAGGAATTGCATTTTAGTCATTTGTTTTGCAATCCAGATCTATACCTTAGCACATACTGGGTTCTCAGTTGCAACTTGTCCCACCATGCTTCCAAGCCAAAAGGCACAGAGGCTAACCATGACATCATCTCACTATGCTCAGCTCAGCAAACTGAGCACTGAGAAGTAATCAGCCTACTCATTTTCTTGCTGCATTTACTATATGAATTAGGAGGGAAAACTCAGTCATTGCGGAAGCTAGAAACATTTTTTGTGAAACATATCTGACAAAGGAGATTTTTTTAAAAAGACTAGGCATTTAGCTTTATGTCTTTTGCTGTCTAGGGAAAATTCTGAAGAATGGCAAAGTACAAGAAACTTGGAGCTTGCTTGTGAAAATAATGTAATAAACTTTTTCAGAATGTAAATTATTTTCAAAATAGAAGTCTGTTCAATCAATTAGAGCACTTTAATAAAATAATTACAAATTATTCAAGTATTCAAAATGTAACTTGTTTTAATGGACCATAACAGAAGCTATTCAAAGTTTAGAGATTTTACGTTCTGAGCACAGAACAAACATTTAACATTGAGCCTATTAAAATACATTAACGTCTGACTGTTATACATCATCATTTATCTACTGTACACTTACAACTCTACTCCATAAGGCTGGTTATCAAGCTATCTGCAATCAGTATGAACTGAATTTTCATTCAAGCACCACATTTAAGCTTGCTGATTTATAGTGACTCTAGGAATGAGCGTATGAGGAAGAGTCAATCCAAAGTTTGTAACGCACTAAAACCGATTTTGTTATTGCTTTCCAACAATTTATATTGCATTAAATAAATTGAGATGAAATCTCATTGGTATCTTTTCAAAAGTCTTGAAGTTGGGAGGAAAAAAAAATGACAATCAGCTTCACCATTCTTTCACCCCCTTCTGTTGACATTTTTCCCTCAATGCTTTTTTTTAAAATTGGTGAAAAAGTAAATGGAAAGGAATTAGCTTGAAGGAATAAGCAAAACGACCATTAAATACAGCATGTAAATAAATCCAGCACATAAATCAACATTTTTCCATCCCCAAAATTCATGGTTTGCATAAACTTTGTGTATAAATTGACGCGTATCACCTATGACATGCTCTACTTGCATAATTAGTCAGCATCAATTTTTCGTTCCAGAATTTCAGTCTTTACATACTCTCTAAATGGGTGCAAGAGATCAAGCATGTCGTGATGATGCAGGGGAGTTTGAGACATGGCCACCTTTACATGGATACTGTTGACATTTGAAAATGGTGATCATCTATGGTTAACTTTTATATTTGGTGTATAAGTCAACCTCCTATTTTCAAAGCCTCAAAAGGTCAACTACAGACGTTGAAATCTACATGATGTGCCAACATGATAAATTGATTTACAAATTTGAGCTGAGAGTAGCTGAAGCACTGACTGTTACTTTGGCACCAATGTTAATTCAATTCCTTCATTTGATGAGGTTCAACAACTCATTCAATGTTGATAAATATAAAATATAACTTCTCCTAACAAAAGAGAAGCAAAAAATGTCTAAAGAAGGACTGTCAGTGTCAGCATCGAGTTTTTTTTAAAACAGAAAGATACAGAATATAAATTCAATCCACTTTTTAAAATATTTCTGAAAGTTACAGGCTTAGAAGGTACACTAATCAAGAATCTAGGGAATCTGAATGATTGAAATCAGCAACTTTCTATTTTATGTTTCTCATTTTAAAGATTACAAATATGGACAGCACTGATCTTACAATAAATTTAAGACCTTTTAAAGACAGGTTCTTTGAACAAGTGTACAAATATGAACATGCGTGCACAGAACTAAAATATTTTGCTTTAGGTTTAAATTTGTGTGGCATGATGTTATGGGTCGTTGAGCAGCTCTACCTATTCAATCAGAGCCAAAGTGCTCTTTTAATAGGAGACTACCTACTCTCTTCGGTTTCACCAGGGGTAGTTTGATATTGTGCTTCAGCAGTACTGCCACACTAATCTGGCTTTACAATGTACTGGCATAATTTTAACATCAAAATGATATCAGTGGATCAACTTTGAAAATCCTGATATCTCTCTATTACCCATATATTACTGTCTTTTGAAGAGTTTTTTTTAAAAGTATAAATAAAACACAACAGATTACTCTTAAATCTGAAATTTTTAAAGCTCTTAAAAACCAAACACTCCTAGTGAAGAGAAAATGTTACCCATCAATATTCTCCCTGGAAAAAGTCAGAAATGATTGTAAATTTTTTTATTCATTTTAAAAGAATACATAAAGATGACAATTCCTTTTTGACACAACAACAAGCCATAATTTTCACAACAGGACAGCCTACTCCAAAGATCAGAGCACTCCAGTATAAATGATCAATAACACATCGTAGCATAGTTTCAGAAGGGTTAGAACAAATGTATTTTTTTAAAAAGAAAATTCTGAATTTCCCTTATAATTTTATTTAATCCATTTTTAAAAAGGTATTTTTCATTCTTAAAGTGGAAACATTGGTGCCAAGATTTCACCAAATAAACAATTGGGCCCATATACTTCCAAAGTAACAAAATGGTGGTATCTGTTAGCCTCTGTTCCATTTTGATATAGAATAAAAATTCCTTTGATGGTGTTGTATAAGTTACTTTTGATTTTTTTCTATCATTGTCCAATGTCTGTCACAGTATCGATCTATTTGGTTTCCCCATGTTTCCTGTTTATCTCTGTTCTTTGTTTCCCCTTCAAGATATTAATTAAAGGTTCAAGTCTGAAAGTTGAGCAAATACAAACCAGCTTTACGTCTAATTGTCAGGAAAGGTGTTCTGCTTCTTTCCAATACATACTTATTTTAAACAGTGAGCCCATTCCAGCGTGAGATAAAAGCTAAAGAATGCATCCCAAATCCCAGAAAAGGGTTTTAGAAATATTTTCATACCAAGATGACAATAAAACTCTTAAAATCAAAACTGCTCTAGGCCCAAAACGTCAGCATTCCTGCTCCTATGATGCTGCTTGGCCTGCTGTGTTCATCCAGCTCTACACCTTATTATCTGCAATATAAAACTGCGTGTTTTCTAGGTATATTGAAAATGTTATTTTTTTCCATAAACCAAATTAAAGATCCTTCAAGACTTTCACAGCTGTTACATTTGTTTTTTGAGATCAATTGGAATTGAACTACCACCACTTTTCAGTAATCGGTTCTGCTTATGAGCTATTTCTAGTACAGCAAACGATTCCAATTTCTTAATGCCATTTTCCTTGTAGGAATTGTTACACCCATAGCAGATACAGTCTTGACAAGACCTATGATTTGCATAACATGGGCACTTCTGTCCCCTGCAAGTGAGAGCGCTGGGAGCACATGCTGCACGACCACATTTGCACCCAGGTTTCCATCTTGGCTTTTTGCATACAGATTTCATTGAACTAGCACATTCCTGATTACCAAGCCTCTTTACAGTTTTGTACTTAGCACTGTAACTTTTCACCATATTCTTCAGCCTTTCAGTGACACCACTGTGTTTATTATCACCAGATTTCTTTAAGTTAAATGAACTTTTGTCAGATGACGGCATATATGATACAGGAATCTGTTCAGTGGATATGTGAATTACACAGTCGTCCTTGGTATTTTCCACATTACATCCATCATGATTTTTCAGTGAAATGCTTTGTTTACAAATCTTTCTGGTAAAGACACGGACAGCTTTCTTCCTGTCTTTAAAAGTGTCGTCAGCAATATCAGTTGGTTGCTTGGAGATAACAGATTTTTGCACCTTAAGTGGAGTCAATCTGCTTATTATTTTCATAGATTTTTCTGTGCAACACAACACACTGGACTCCATTTCGTTGAACACACTGGACTCCATCCCTTTGTGCGCCAACATCATACCCTCTTCTAACAAAATATTTAGGTTAACTGGTGAAGTATCTTTTTCTGAAATATTCTCCAATATGGCAGAACTGGCTATATAGTCACAAAGTATCTTGTAACATGTTAGAAGAATATGAAGTTGCTCATTTTCCACAAATGTTCCCTGGTCTTTGCACCAACTGCAAGAAGGCCTTATTTGTATTTTCTGCCCTGTACAACTGTTACATACAAAATGTTGGCAGATAGACTTTTTTGGACCAACTGGATTTTTCAGTAAGTTACCTAAACCAAAAGAAAGAAGTTTTATGCTACAGATACATAGTTTGAATCAGTTTTAAAAAGATTGACAAAACAAAAGCTATGTATTAGGCAAAATGGAGCACAAGTAGCATCCCTCTATTGGGCAAAGAATCAGTCACCATGAGACAATACTTAACACAAGGAAATTCAGGTTTTTAAACAGAATATAGTTCAATGCATTCAAGAAGTCAGAACATGATTTACTCCATCACAAAATAAAGATTTATGAGGGATAAGTTTGAAGATTATCTAAACAATAATCAGATTAACATGAATCAGCTTGCATCCATAAGAGGAAAATCCCACTTGACCATTCTTCTCAGGTTGTCACTTCTTGAAAGTATCAAGAGGATTGTGTTAAATTATAACACGTGGAATTACTTAACTTCTAAATCTTCTTAAGTTT